CAGGGGCTCACCTGAGGTTTGACCTTGGCCTAATCTGAACTCCACCTCCACCCACCCCCTGAAAGGTATCTGTGTGTGGTTTGCAGCCAGTCCAATCAGTGTCTCTGATTCTATCAGTTCCGCAAGGGGTCTTACGGTGTGATGTGGCAAGTTTCTTTTCCTCCATTGGTCATTGATGATACAGGCCTGGGCCCCTGTGTCCCACAGCGCTTCAACTGGAACTCCATCTAGCTGACATTGGACAATGCATCTCTTACCGATGAGGTTCACCAGCTTTGCTTCACCCCTAGGTGACAAATAACAAACGGGTGTGCCCAGCGGTGTGTTATCAGGGGTCTGTGTTTTCCTGTTGGGACTAAGAGACACATCCTGGGCTACTGAGGGTCCTCGCTCAGCAGCCCTCTCCAGTTTCCCTGTTGTTCTCTGTTTTGGCGACAACCTCTGGAGAGGTGACCCTCTTGTCCACACTTGTAACAATGTCTGCAGGACTCACCCATTTGGACCTGTTGGCATGCCCTACATCCACGGGGTCTTCTCTGAGTTGCCGCTGGACTTGTTAGATTCGTTCGTCTGGCCTCCACTGTCTCTAGTACTATCTTTTTCATTTCTTGTACTTCTGCTTTCAGCCCTTCTAGGAGCTGACTGGTGTTTGTGTCCTTTTCGGGACTGGGCCCCACATTCTTCCTGCTCTTTATCTTGTCGCCTTTGTTGTCCATGTCTCTCTGTTCTGCATTCTCCTCAACTTCTTGCCTGAGAGAAAACGGAAGATCTGTCTGCACAGTATTAAGTCTGGGAGGTCTGTTCACGACTGCTTTCCTTAACTTTTGTTGCCTCTCCTGTTCTAGGTTTGCAGCCTCACTGATTCGTTCAATTAACACCTCGTCTGTCACCACCACGCTGCTCAGGTAAGGCTTGAGTTGAAATTTCACCGCATCACTCAACAGCCCTGTCTCCACAGACCGAAGAAATTTCCTTTGGATGAGCTCTGGGCTGAACTTTTCACTTTCCTCCTCTTCTCCAACTTTCCAGAGTAACTTTTCTTTCAGTTCAATTGCTCGGAACAGAAAATTCTGTGCAGATTCTTTTGGGTCTTGTGAGATATTCATCAGCCGGTGCAGAAGGTCAGAGGATGAATCCACTTTAAAATGTCCCCTGAGGATGGTCTTTAGGGTGGAGAGCGTCAATCCTCTTTTTATTTCCAACATTTCCCTCAGATGGAGGCCCGGACTTATCGCACGAGTGACCGCTTCAATGATTTCTGTTT